CGCTCGGCCTTCGGACTCGAGGTCTCCTCTCAGCGGAGGCTTCCGTGCGGCACCAACGGCGGGGTCCCTCGCTCGTTCTGTGGCTGAGGGTGGCCATCCCCTTACGCCGCCTTTGTCGCTCCCGCGGCATAGTCGCCTGTAAAGAAGGTGGCTGCAGCAAAACAGGTTTCGCTCAGGGCGCTAATTAGACAGTATGAAACGGTGTCACCTGTGCGCTACCCCCCCTTCTGGGTGGCCTCGGACCTCCAAGGTGGTCTTCCGTCTTCGTCCTGGCCGCCTCCTTGAGATGGTGGGATGTGTCGCACATTAAACTACCTACCGCAGCCGCCGATACTAAAAATTCTTAGACAACTTTACAAAAGGAAATGCTACGCGAAACGCGACGACAAAAATCTCCGCGTTTTCGCCCGAAAATCGCAATAAGCGTCGGCACGCCCGCCCTCCGCGTCGGGAGGACACAGGACAAATTTACCGCGCTACTTTGGCCAGGTCGAATGACCCTTGTGACGGACGGTGAAAAAACGTCACGTCACAGAGCATAAACACTAAGAACATTGAAATATATCGATACACCGATTTGCGCGAGTGGTATGAGCGTCACGTTATCGAGCCCACGTTGGCGTCGCTCGAAGAATTCCAAGAACGCGACAGCGGATGGGCATTGTCACGTGTACTAAATTTGACTATCAACGTGAATAAACTAAATCCCATGCGCGCGGGATGACATGTCGAAGTGCCGCGGGAAATAGCAACGAAACGAGCGGTGATCAGTGTGTGTACGATGGACAATGCGTGCTTCGCGTGGTCGGTGGTCGCCGCTCTACATCCGGCTGAAAGAAATGCTGATCGGGAATCGTCGTATCCGCATTATACAACAGTGCTAAATCTTGCGGGCATCGAGTTTCCGATGAATTTAAAAGACATTCAAAAATTCGAACGATTGAACGCGGTGTCGATCAACGTATATGGCATCGAAAATAAACAGATCCTTCCTCTACGGCTCACCAGCGATAAAAAGGAGAAACACGTCAACGTGCTGTATCTACAAGATCCACGCGACGACAGTCTTGGCCACTTTGCTTCGATAAAAAATCTATCCCGTCTCGTGAGCTCGCAACTCAACAGAAAAAAGAACAAGAAATTTTTCTGCGATCGGTAAGTATACATAAAAAAAATTATAATTATACTTTATACTAATAAATGATAATAATAATTTACATACGTTTTTTTCCAGATGCTTGCATTACTTCAGTACGAGCGAAAAATTAGAGTTACACGCAATGGACTGCAGAAAAATGAACGATTGCGCCATCAGACTGCCGAGCGAGGACGATAAATGGCTCGAATTCGGCAACCACTGCAATAAGGAGCGCATTCCATTCATCGTCTACGCCGACTTGGAGTGTGTTCTACGCAAGATGAAACCCAACAGGGAAGATGCGTCGTCATATACATATCAACAGCACGAGATATGTAGTATAGGCTACTACGTACGTTGCTCGTACGATGACGCGTTATCGTCCTATCGGTTCCGTCGCGATGAAGACTGTATAGCGTGATTCGCGCGTCATCTCCAAAACTTGGTGCATCGCGTGAAATATATTGTATCCGCCAACGTGCCTATGGAAACGTTATCTAACCAGCAATGGGAGGCGTACCGTAGCGCGACGCATTGCCACGTATGTGAAAAATCATTCGCGCCGAACGACACGTGGATCCGCGATCATTGCTACTTAACCGGTAGATACCGTGGTCCAGCCCATTCAAACTGTAATTTAAATTATAAAAATTCATTATATATTCCGTTTTTCATAATTTATCGGGCTACGACACAACTTTATAATTAAGGAAATTGCTACTGCATACAACGGACAAGTAGACGTACTTCCAATAACCAAAGAAAAATACATTTCTTTCACGAAACGTGTCGATAGCACTAAAGACAAAAATGAAAATAATTTTCAGAAAAATTGTATAAAAATACGTTTTATAGATTCTTACAAATTTTTAAGTGCGAGCCTCGATAAATTGGCGTCGTATCTCGATAAAGATAAATTAAAAATTGTACGTTCCGAATTTTCAACACTATCGAACGAAGAATTTGAACTACTCACCCGAAAAGGCGTATTTCCGTACGAGTACGTTGACTGCGTCGAAAAATTGCAGGACACGCGCTTACCACCTCGCGAATCATTTTACAGTTCCTTGACGGGCGATACCGTATCCGAGAGCGATTACGCTCACGCTGCGAACGTTTGGCAGCGATTCTCTGTGCGAAAGCTCAGCGAATAAAACGATCTGTACTTGAAAACCGATGTCTTGTTATTAGCCAACATTTTCGAAAATTTTCGCGAAAGTTGTGTAGAGAGTTATGGTCTTGATCCTGCACATTACTATACATTGCCCGGTTTCACATGGGATGCCATGCTAAAACACACACATGTAAAATTTGAACTTCTCACCGACATAGATATGGTTCTGTTCATTGAGCGCAGTATACGCGGCGGCCTCAGTCAATGTTCAGGTAGATACGCGCAGACTAATAATAAGTATATGCGTTCGTACGACCCATCGAAACCGTCATCATACTTAATGTATTACGATGTTAACAATCTATATGAATGGGCGATGAGTCAACCATTGCCATACGCTGAATTTCAATGGGTCAAAGACGTTGCGAACTTTGACGTGAGCACGATCGCTCCGGATTCGCCCACCAGTTACATTCTCGAGGTCGATCTCGAGTATCCACAGCATCTTCATGACGCTCATGCAGACCTACCATTCTGTCCTACGCGCGATAAGCCGCCTGGCAAGCGCGAGAATAAACTTCTAGCGACGCTGTACGATAAACAGCGTTACATCATCCACTACCGTAATCTGCAGCAATGTACTCGTCACGGTCTTCGCGTAACAAAGATCCATCGGGTGCTACAATTCGCGCAATTTCCATGGGTTCGCGAGTACATTCAACTCAATACCAATTTCAGAACTCGTGCGAAAAACGATTTCAAAAAAAATTTATACGAATTAATGAACAACGCGGTTTTCGGCAAAACAATGGAGAATGTGCGCAATCACGTCGACGTAAAATTATTAACAAAATGGGACGGATGGTACGGCGCGGAGGCAATGATCGCAAAACCAAATTTCCACAGTCGTAGCGTCTTTGCGGAAAATTTAATCGCCATCGAACTGCGCAAACTCGAGGTGAAGTTCAACAAGTCGATTTATGTGGACATGTGTATACTCGACATATCGAAAGTCTGCTTGTACGAATTTCACTACGAGTACATGTCACCACTGTTTTGCGACAAATGTAACATTATGTAAACTGACACAGACAGTCTTATATACCGCGTCGAGTGCGAGGACATTTACGAGACGATGAAACGTAATATCGCTAGATTCGACACGAGCGATTATCCGACGGATAATGCGTACGGTATGCCTCTCGCGAACAAAAAAGTATCTGGAAGGACGAGAACAACGGTGCGATAATGACCGAATTCGTTGGACTCAGAGCGAAGATGTACGCGGTGAGGGTGAACGGCAAGAAGGACACTAAAAAAGCGAAAGGCATAACAAGTAACGTCGTAGCGCGAACGATAACGTTTGACGATTACACGCGGTGTTTGAAAGAAGATATCGAAATGACTCGTCGTCAATCGTGTATACGATCTAAACTGCACGAGATGTACACGATATCCGAAATGAAAATCGCTCTGAGTCCATACGACGACAAACGATACGTCGTACCGGACTCAACGGAGACGTTATCATGGGGGCATTGGCGGATACCATTGTAATATATGTATTATATTACATGTCTCTTTCTGGATGATACTATTATAGTAATGCTTGTCATGCCTACCAACACAACGTTTAGCGCGTAAAATCTTTGAAAAGATGGCGCTTTTCAGCCATCTTGCTCCATCTGCCGGCCCTCCATCTTCATATTGTTTCGTTGTGCCGATGCATCAAGACGTTTGTACGCATATTTCACAAGAATTAGTGAACATACCATACATAGCAGGATGCCGGAACACAAAAAGAGGAAGCGGTCGAGATCAAGATCTCGAGAGGATTCTCATTCTAAACGTAGAAACGATGAGAAATTCAGCCGATTACAGAAACAGATAGATAACCTAACAAAGGTTATAGGCACGTTGATGAATGTTCAAAAAGAACGAAGTTCGCCAATTTTAACAATACAGGACAAGGAAAAATCCTTCCTTTCCATAACAATGGGTAAGTAAACAATCTCGTTTAAAAATCTCATCTTTCCACACGAAAGTTGAGAGGTATTACCCACACGGTTTTACCATAGTCCACGCGATCTAGGGTATCATTGTGATCAAGTTCAACAAGAACATTAATTTCACAATTTGCACAACAAGTGCTACCCTCTTTTAATTCCTACTTCCTTATTCTTACTAGATCAGTAGTATGTGGGCAGCCATGGAGCG